AGCTGGGTCTCCCGCCCCCTTCCCAGAACCCGATCTGAGATTCTGGGTGTGTGTGTGTGGGTGATGGGAACCTGGCTGCCTCGGGCAACTAATGGGACGGTGTTGGTGGGGTGAGAGACACTGTCCCATGTCACACGTCTGTGTGACGGGAGGTCATTCTTTTGAATGCCACAAGGGTGATTTTTATGATTATTAGAGACAAGCATTTCTCCTGAAGATAACTTCAGATTGGATTTCAGGAGATGAAAGTGAGGTTTTTTTTAAGTAATAGCAAAGCCTTGTGTTTCTGTAGTAATCTATGCGTTTTGAAGTGCTCTCAGTCATTATCCTGTTTGATCCCACTGAGAACCCTGAGAGCACACATTGGGTTGGTGGTGGTTATCCTGAGGCCACCAACGAGACCAAGATCATAATGAGTAGGAACCAGAGCCGAAGTTAACCCTTTCCCTGCTCATGGCCCCGTGTTCATCCCCCCCACACACACACACACACCCAGCGCAGACCAGAAGCCACAGCACAGGATGCATAGAATCCCGTTAGTGTCACTCACCTGAAAATCCAGGTGCCCTACGTAATGGTGGGAAGTAGATGGCAGGACTCAGGGGGGTGCAGGAGATGGCTGCCTACCTTCAGGACTTCTGTTTCTCCTAAAAATCAACTAAAATGGTTTTTGCAGGGTGAATCCATAAGGACAAAGAAGGGGGAGAGAAAAATAGCAATATAAACTTGGAAGCTGGAGAATAGGCAGATGCACAGTAGCTGACTTAGTGGACTCAGAACATACAGTTTGCCAGGCGCAGTGGTGCACACCTGTAATCCCAGCAGTGTAAGAGGCTGAGGCAGGAGGATCGAGGGTTCAAAGCCAGCCTCAGCAATGTCAAGGCGCTAAGCAACTCAGTGAGACCCTGTCTCTAAAGAAAATACAAAATAGGGCTGGGGATGTGGCTCAGTGGTCGAGTGCCCCTGAGTACAATCCCCAGTTCCAAAAAAAAAGAAAAACCAGAGAGCCTGGTAGGAGATTTACATCCAAATAATAGAGATTCTAGACAGAAAAGAGAAAATGGAGAACTTGAAGACAATTTCCCCTGAGCCCAAAGAACCGTGGTTTTCAGATAGAGCAGGACTCATCTACTCCCTGAATGACAGCAAAGCCCACCAGGAACACCATCATCACATTTCAGAGCCCTGGACAGAAAGGAAAGCCTACAAGTTTCTAGAAAGGGCATTAAGAAATATGTACACACATAAAAGCAGGGTTTTTTTTTTAATATACATTTTTTTAAGTTGTAAGCGGACACAATACCTTTATTTTATGTATGTGGTGCTGAGGATCAAACCCAGGGCCTCACACATGTGAGACGAGCACTCTACCTCTGAGCCACAGCCACAGTCCCATAAAAATGTAAAGATTCAAGAATCAAACTAACATAACATGGGGCATCTTAGCCACACTGGGCATAAAAAGACAGCCCTGCAGCAAGTCATTGCCACTCACACTCTCTGCCCTCAGGAGATGTTGAGGGATGATTAAGACATTACCTCCGTACAGCCCTGTCCAGAACTACTAATAAATATGCTTCACTGAGACCAAGGGAGTAAACCAAGAAAAAGAGAGGCACCAAATAGGAGAAATGGGGACCGGGGCTAAGGAGAATGTCCAGGAGGAGGGTACAGGGCTGTCCCAGGGGAGACCGTAGGCCTCGGGAGACTCCCAGGGAGTCAGACGCCCCAAGAGAGATTTCTGTGTAAAGAAACTGAAAAACACTCCGTGGATTTAAATGCATCCAGAGAAAATTCACAAGCTGGGGAAGGCTTTGTGTTTGGATTAGGGAGAAATATATGAAACACTGAACCAATGGGCCGGGATGGCGGCCAGGGGTACGGGTTCTGTTCACTTCAGGGAAAACACAAAGTTTTCCTGGGAAAAATAGTGTTCCGGTCACAATATCCTGTGTGATCCATCCATGAATAGCGTTTTCTTGAGATAACGAAGACACTGACTATCTAAAATTGCTATCGAACCAGGAGGCTCGAAAAGGATCACGTGTGTGGCGATCGATGGCAGAGATGGTGATAAATGAGAGCTAAAGCCTCATCTTCCAGAATGGGCCAACAGCAGATGATTCCTAAAACCGAGAAATCAAGAAGTAGGACTGTGAGCATGTTATTTAGAGATCTGGAGGTAACCTACCAAAGACTGGACTAAAATAGCAGGAAACGATTGTTTCTGGGAGACAAGGGTCAAAGAATGCTGTTTCTTTTATCAAGCTCCAGACAACCAACCACTCAACTCTTTAAATCCTGGACACAAGTGGCTTGCACAAATGAAAGTGGAATTTCAAGAATGTGCCTGTGGGAGCAAGTGGGCTGCAGCTGCGCTTGCCCTTCAGAAGCGAGCCACATGCCAGAGAAGAACCTCTTTCAACTATCTGCCGCTTTGCAGCAGATGGCCTGGGCAGGCAGGATGCCTCTGTGTCCCTCTCTCCTTCTTGGATCCACTTTAATGATGGAAACACAGATGTGGGGTGACGTTTCAGAAGCTGGTGACCTGACTTTTTTCTTTGCAGGATGAGTGATCTATTGAAAAATCCAATCCTGGGTATTTGCGTCTACCGCAAACCAGAGGGGGTAGGAGAGGTGCCATCTAAATGGGTTGGGGTCACACGCAAAGCATCACAAGGGCCTTTTGTGGGGTAAAGGATGTATAGTGCCACCCTGGTCTTCAAAGGAAGCCAGAAAGCATAGATCTGCTTTTCTCCTACTCTCCCAGGAGACCTGGGTTAGGCCCAGGGACTAGATGTTGGCACCGTCCTTTATAAGTTCCAAATGCAGAATGTGTTTCTGAAGCCGTCTCCCTGGCACCCTTTGGCTGAGGGGCGGTGGCTGCTTTTCTGAGATGAGACCCTCCCACGTGCTCCCAGGCAGGTAGCGGCCAGCCACACGCTCTCCTAGGGCAGTGGTCAGAGAGTGGGCCGTGGAGCCCAACAAAACAATTGAGGCTTGACCTCACTCCTCACCAGCTGGTGTGACCTGAGCAGTCACCTGGATTCCTGAGCTCCATTATTTCTTCTGCAAAATGGGGGTCGTTGTAGTACTGGGGTTCAGGAATTAAATAAGACCTAAGACGTGCTCTCAAAACAGCACCTCTGAGCTGTTCCTATAAGTCACCTGTGTCCTCCTGGGAACGCCAGAGTCTGTCGGAGCCTCGTCTTCCTCTTTTGTACAGTGGGGACAGTACTGTGTCCCTGAGGTTGCTGTGAATGCTCTGAAATGATGGGAACAAGTCACTTAGCCCGGCCTGTGGCACCTAATGGGACCTCGGTTCCTGGAGGTGGCTGTCACCTGGCTTTCCATCTCCATAGCCTCTGTCTGCGTCGGGCCCTTCCTCTGGGCACCCAGACAGCACCTCTGGCCGCCCTGCGTCTCTCTCCCTCTTCCTGCTGTAGCTCCTCCTGCATGTGGTTGCGAGAACAATCTCAGACACTGCAGCGAGGCCCTCTGGGGCATGAGGTCAACGTGCTCCAGCCTGATGCTTAAAGCCTCGCACGGCGGCCTCCTGCCTTTCCTCCTTTCTGTCCACGCGGCCACCTCGTTCTTCACCAGCCTTGGTGGCCACGGCCTCTGTGTGCTGTGCAGTGTCCCAGGTTCCTCCTCAACTTCCCTCCTCAAAGCATCACTCATTCTAAGAGTCGATTGGGAATGAAACCCACCTCCTTCAGGAAGCCTCCCCCGCCTTCCCCCCACTCACCCCTTCCTGCTTCGACAGCAGCTCTGGTCTCCTGCAGTTCTGAGTCACTGTCACTGGCCAGGAAAGCCACCGTGTGGAATGGGTGTGTGGGTCAGCTGTGTGTCACTGTGACCAAAGTACCCGGCAAGAACCACTTAGAGGAAGAAAAGGTTCTCTGAGCTCATGGTCTCTGGCTCAGTCCCTGTCAGCTGACTCCGTTGCTTGGGCCTGAGGTGAGGCAGAACATCATGGTGGAGGGGTGTGGTGGAGGACAGATGCTTAGCTCATGGCCGCCAGGAAGGAGAGAGAGAGGGAGAGAGAGAGGCCAGAGACAAAGTATAAACCCTAAAGGCAGGCCCCCTGTGACCTACTTCCTCCAGCACCCCCCCACACCTGCTGCAGTTATCACCCTTTCCAATTATTAATCCATCAAGTGGATTAATCCACTGATTAGTGTCAGCTCTCATAATCTAGTCATGTCATCTGCAAACTTAACAATAAGAAAGAGTTCTGAGATGCTAGAGATCGGACAGACGTGATTTACTTCCAAGCTGAGAGACCTTGGGAATGTTGCTGGACTGCTCAGTGTCCTCCCCTATAGAAGGGGAACTTGTAAACTGGGAATAGTGACATTGAGGTTATTCTGGGGCTGGGGTTGTGGCTCAGTGGCAGAGCGCTTGCCTCACACATATGAGGCACTGGGTTCGGTCTTCAGCACCACATAAAAATAAATAAATAAAATAAAGATATTGTGTCCATGTATAATTTAAAAAAAGGTGTTTTTTTAAAGAAAGAGAGATTAATATGAAATAATTTATACAAATTTCTTAGTATTGTATCTAGCACCTAGTCGCTCACATAATAATTCTCCTCCCTTTGTTGTTCCATAAGTGCATGGTTTGTTGTTTTGCTAAATTATAAGCTTCTTAGATACACAGCATGGATACTTTGTCTGTGTAGCTTACCCATCTGTATCAGTCAGTGTATGCTAGGTCATGCTGTGGTAACACGTAGGCCCAAGTCTCTGCAGTTTTAAACACCAGAGGTTTCTCTTGCTTACCCTGCAAGTCACTTATGGATTAGTAGAGCAAGTTCTTCTCATTTTAGTTACTCAGGGAGCTGGACCACTCACATTTCACTGGCCAAACAAGTCATCTGGCCAAGTCTAGCTCTTAACAGCACAGAGAAGTCTAATCCTATTGTGTACCTATAAGGAGGTATTTGGTATTCGAGAACATTTGTCAGCCACCCTAACACCCACTGTGTCTTCCAGGTGGCTTCGTACCCAGGTGTGCCTGTTTGAAACCTGGTGCTGCTGCTGGGTGTGCAGTCCTTTCCCAGACACTTGGAGTCTTGCTGATTGGAATCAGTCCTGCTCTGCATGGGTCCAGGGGTCCCCAACTACAGTCCACAGTCCTTGCCAGAAAGCTGGCATGACTGGTTGTCTCGTACCATGCTGCTAAGCAGTGGGACCCTTAAAGGAGGAGGCTTCATCTCAAATCAGGACCCATGTTCAGGAGGCCCAGATCTCAAGTTTGTCGGCCTTGACCCTCTGATTCGTATGTTCGTTCACTCACGGGACAGCTAATCATCTCCACCAGGATTTGCCCGATGGCAAGCACCATCCATTCACAGGAAGTGATAGCAGAGACAGACAAGCTTGCTCAGATTTGCTGATCAGGTGGAGTCGGCAGGAGACCAGAGAGATCAAGAGAATGGACAGTGAAGTGAGCTCACCATCCCTGGGCTTGCCTCACTTCTAACAGCCTCGGGCAAATTCCTAAGTCACTTTGTGCCTCTGTCTTACCATCTATAAAGTGGGAGCAATTACCATATTTCTGTTGTAGAGTTAAACTTAAAAGGAAATGAGATAGATGATTCCTATAAAATGTTTCATGAATCATGTCATTTGCCAGGAAATGGGTGGAACTGGAGACTATCATGCTAAGTGAAATAAGCCAATCCCCAAAACCCAAAGGCCAAAGGTTCTCTCTGATATGTGGATGCTGACTCACAATAGGTGGGCAGGGAAGTGGAGGTTCATTCGATTGGAGGGGACGGTGGGAATGGGAAAGACAGTAGAATAAATTGGACCTAACTTTCCTATGTTCCTGAATGAATGCATGACCATCGTAACTCCACGTGTACAACTACAAGAATCGAGAAGTTATACTCCATGTAGGTATGATATGTCAAAATACATTCTACAGCCAGGCGCAGTGGCACACGCCTGTAATCCCAGTGACTTAGGAGGCTGAGGCAGGAGGTTCATGGGTTCAAAGCCAACCTCAGCAAAAGTAAGGCACTAAGCAACTCAGTGAGGCCCTAAGTCATATACAAAACATAGGGCTGGGGCTGTGACTCAGTGATCGAGTGCCCCTGAGTTCGATCCCTAGTACCAGAAAACAAAAACAACAACAAAGAATATATTCTACTGTCATGTATAACTAAAAAGAACAAATAAAAAATTTTAAAAATAGATCAATAAAATGTTTCATAAAGATACTGCCTTTGGAAAGACTCCGTCCGTGTCAGCCACAGCTGCTGTCCCCATTGTCATTACCCCCGTTAGTGGTAGTAGTAGTGGGAATTAGGAGGAGTGGTGGGAGGAATGGTAGGAGGTTGAGCCAGCCAGGAAAGTTTTGTATTTTCCTAAAAGAATCATATTAAAAAGGGTTGTTGTGCGTTATTCATGGAGCCTGATTTCTTGTGGGCCAGTAGCACACTGGGAATGCTAATTACGGCCACACCCCACTGCTGCTCATTACAGAGCAGGGTCCAAATAATCCCCCGTTATTGGCCACTTATGTTGTTCCCACTGGTCCTCTATTGTCCCCTGAACTCTCCCAGTCTAATCCATTTTGAACATTCAAGTAGCTTTTCATTATTAAGGCTCAGAGCATGGAAAGAATAACTGAATAGAAATCGAACATTTTTGAAACAGGGAGAAAATGGCTGAGAATTCTCAAAGCCAGACCAAGGAGCTGCACCCATGATCCCTGGATCCAGCAGACCAGCACCTGGGTGCATTTGCTTTGACCAGATCTTGAGCCCCTGTTCTTAAGGAAAAAATATATTCTGAGTCTCTTCATGGCTCTCCACCTCAGTCACCCCCGACACCTGTCCAGGCAGTGACATGGTGGGTTTGGCATGGAGGCAGGCAGGTCATGAGAGCCAGCAACATACCTGTTAATTCCCAGGTCTGTATCTACTTGTGTTTAGGATCAGAGGGTAAAGAAAAGGAAGATCCCCCAACTCGTGAGATCCCCCCACTTGTGAGACCAGAATCAAGCATGCACCTCTGCAAGTCTACCCCATCCAAAAAACTGGTCTAATTAAATCCCGACAGATTGCTGCTCTGTTTTTCCGGCTGCCTGGTAGCTGGACCTGCTTCTATAAGCTCTGGCAGGAGCAGGATACATCTGGCTTCACTGAGTTATTTAATATCTTTGGCACAAGTCAAGAACAGTAGAAATGGTAGAAAATGTGTTCTTTTCTTACCCTAAGTCACAGGAGAGCTGGGGGAAAAAAAATACATTTTTTCCCTTCTGATTTTAAAATGATCTGAAGGAGAGAGAGAGGGTTAGCTCATCAACAACCAGTAGAGTGTACTTTTGCATCCCATTTGTAGGACAGGTTGCCAGTGTAGGGTTTGGAATGGGGTGGCAGTTTAACCATATCAAATGCTTAATGAAGTGAGGCCTCATCTCATCGGTATTCAGCCGGGTGCTAACATTACCTACGCTAATCCCGAAACAATGAGCTATAAGGAGCGCTTTCTTTCTTGGTTGGGAATGAATGGAGCAGCCTGAATTATTCCAGTTTTATCTCCTGCCTTAACCTGGAATGAAGCCAACATGTTGGGTTTTACCCTGGGGAGTCCATATCATGTGAAAAACCTAAATCAGGTCTGTCTGCTCGTGCGTGCAGTCCTAATCCGTTAAATATTTCTAGCTAGCAATGCACACGGGGCCCTTTAGCTCCACAGTCATGTTCTGCTAAGACCATGCAAATATAACTGCTTGTGCCCGCTTGTTTAGGGAGGAATTGGTAATCCCCCACGCCGACATGGTTTTACCCAAATCCCTCCCGCTACACGGAAGGCGCCTGGCCTGCCTTAACCTTTGCGATATTCCCCTGCCATCCTCCAGGGCCCAGCTCACTCTGTGTGCACTCAGGAAGGTTTCAAATGAAGGATTGGCTTTCTCTTTGATTAGCTACTTAAGAGCAACCAGAATCCTTGGATTTATCAGTTATAGGAACTTGAGCGCAGAGACTCGGCTGTGAACTGTGTAAAGAGAATGGCACTGAACCCTGTCGGTCTCTGTGCCCTTATGCATTCAAGAAAATGAAACATTGGGAATTGAGTGCTCTTTGGGGCGTTTTTTTTACAGTCAAGCACTGCTGTCTGCAAAGGAAAATTTCTTTCTAGAAAATTCTGGGTTTTTTTTCAAAACTGCCTCTTTCATACTCTTGGTTCATTCTAGGGGAGTGGCTTTTTAGTTTTCCTTCATCCAAAAATGGAAGTAACTTTTTCAGGATTATAAAAAAGGAGTACATGAGCCATCTTTTATTTCACAGTTATTTGTGAGTTCTCCCTGTGCACTAAGTTGAGCACTGGGTAAAGGACAAGGTGGCAGAGTTAGGAGCATGGACTCAGGAGTCCCGCTGCCTGGGTGGAATCGGGCAGCCCCCCTTTGCAGCTGGGCAAGGCTGTGCTGTGTCGTGGTTCCCCCCTTCACTAATGTGGGGATGTCAATCATGCTTACTCATTCTGAAGCCCTCAGGATCTGGCACCGAGCAAGTACTAAGTGTTAGCGGCCACCACAGCCCCTGTTGTCATTATCCTTATCATTATGATAAGTATGGTTATGGAATAAACTTGTCCCCAAACAAAACAAAACAAAACCCACCATTCTGTGTCAGCAGTGGGGACCGACTTCCTGAGATCCAAGACCATGGTGAATCTGCACCTCAGTTGCGTGTCTTGCTTGCACCCGATGTCCCCGTGAAGCAGAACGATTCTGCTCCCAGAGCCAGGCCTTCAGGATGCCCACCTGAGAGCTTTGTCACACACCCATGACTGGGCTTCTGTCCATCTGCAAGGCTACCTGACAGCACCCCGGCTTCCTGCAGCATGTTCTCACTGTGGCCGGGTCTGAACACCTGTCTAATTTGGGTTTGCAACCAAAGTTCATGCACTTACCTGGAATGGAAGCCTGTATGTACACAATTTGGGGACAAATTGACACACAAGTGCATCACCTAACTTCCTAAACTACCATCGTGTTTCTGGAGCCTGAACAATGAAGGAGCCCTTCAGTAATTTGCTTGTGGGTCATAAAAAAAAGTCCCAAATCTTATGAATTCTTGGAGGATGAGTTGTTTGTCCTGAAATTGCCGAAGACTTAGGTTGCTAACATCACCTTTAAAGGAGATACTTTTATGGACTCAAAAAAAATCAATGGCTTTGTGCTGTGTGAATTGGTTCCCACCCCTTTTTCCTCCCCAGCCACTCAATAGCAGGCTGATTCATTCTTCTGCTTCCTGGTGTGATTGAAGCCATAGACATCTCTCTATCTCTAGATGAGGCTCCTTAGTCTGTTGTTAGGGGTTGCAGAGAGCTGTGGTTCCCATCGCATGTACACTCTCTGGCTCATTCCGGGTGGAAATTCCAGGTTAGCATGCACTAACCCTCAGCCTTTTACCCATGGTGCTCCCAGTGTCCTCAGTGTTACTAAGACTTCTCCCTCTTGACTTGGTTTCTACTTACCTTTGCCTTTATGCTCACAGCTTAACACTGCGTCAGTCCATAATGCATGAGGTTAGTAATCAAGGTTACTCAGTGCAACTGCAGAGCAGTCTTATAGCAGAAAATGAGGATCAGGACACCGAGATTTGGAAGCAATACTATGTTAGAGGTGCCATGGCCCAGAGGGATAATTCCCAAAGTCAGAGCCCTGAACACAACAGGGCTTTTACTTTTGTAGGTAAGCAAGTTTGTTTGTAAGACAAGAGAGTTGGTGCAATTCTACTGGAGGGTGTGTTCCACATTCCTTACACGGGTATAGGCTTGACAACAGCCTCGGACTCTTAGCTCATACAGCTTAGGGGCTTTTACTGCACTAAGCCTAAAGGGAGATCCTTCTATTCCCCTACATTGTTTCCTTCTTCAGCTCCTGTGATTGCTGCCGCAAGCCTCTATGGATAAATGTCAGTAAGCAGAGCTGCTGTGTGTCAGCATGCAAAGCCACAGCCCTTCAGCCCTTAAACTGCTAATGTTCTCATTTTGCTCTACACCATCTTATTCTGCTGAGCCTGCCTTGACCAAACACCCCAGGCCAGGTGCTTCTACAGCAGAGATTTATTTCTCCCATTCTGGAAGCTAGAAGTCCAAGTTCAAGGTCTGCCAACTGAGGTTCCTGGTGAGACCCTTCCTTTTTGTAGATGGACAGCTGAGAAATTGATGACTCCATTTTTGAGAAACCAGCCTCTACCTCAGAGCAAAGCCTGTCCAAGGAAGGGGGCGTGACCTTTGTCCTTGGAAAAACCCACAGAGCACTCCTAAGCACATACCCACCCTGCTGAGTTGTTTGTCTGTAAATAACAGGAGAGATCTGTGGAGCCAGGTGTCCTGATTCAGTTAGGCTAGGTGAGGATCCATAGCAACCCCCTAGCAGCCACCAATCAGCATGAGACAGGGAAAACACCTGGGATGCCAGATGACCCCCCAGTAGTTTATGGTGGTTGATAACATGTTGGGAATCCGTTTAGTTTAGCACGTACTCCCCTCGTGGCTTAAACCAATCAGTTCAAAGGAACCCCTGCTTTTACTAACCAGTCACCCTTACCCAACTTGTTCCCGCCAGTGAATGTGCTAATCAATGTTAAGAGTTGTTGTTTGACTTTCCCATGGTATGGAATGATTTGCTGTGTGATGTTGTGACGCATAGAGTATCCCCCCAAAACCTATAAAACCTCACTGAACAAAGGACCGGGGCTCACTCCCTGGGACCGCTGTGTCAGAAACGGTTGTGAGTCCAGGCTCGAGCTTGCAATAAAGACTCTTGTGTGATTGCATCAGATTCAGCTCCTGGAGGTCTATTGGGGTCCCACAAATTTGGCATAACACAGCCACCTTCTTACTGTGTCCTCACGTGAAACGAGGACGAGCTCCTTGATGTCTCTTCTCGTAAGAACACTAATCCCCCAGCCGCGTAACCTCCAGAGTCTCCATTGCCAATGTATCACATGTGAATTTGGAGAGAATATAAACATTCAGTCCATAATAAGGTGGTTTCAGGACTGAGGGTTAAGAAGAGAATGTTACCAAGATCCATGGCAGGTAGGAGATAAAAGGTGAATTGTCAGAAAGGGAAGCAGGAGGATGCAGGAGAGGCAGCGTGGGGTGGTGGAGAGAGAGCGCCTGGCACCGGTGCCAGCTCTGCCATCTACTGAGAGACATTCTTAAGTGCTCTGAACTTGCTTTTCCTTGTGTGGCAGGCACTGCATTAGGGGCTGAAATTCAGTGAAACTCATGCCCACGCCCAAACCAAGAACAGGCAGGGACAAGGGACACGCCCTACGTAGTGACATATGCCATGCCAAAGCTCCAAGGAAGCCAGACACGTGAAAATTAAAACATGACTTGAGAAAAATGGCACTGGCACCTGCCTGCTCTCTCTTTTTGGGGGCTGTTTAATTGTGTTGTGGACTACATGTGTCCTCCCAAATCCCTATATGGAAGCCCTGACCCCCAGCGTGATGGTATTTGAGATGCACCTTTGGGAGGCAGTTGGGATTGGATGAGATCATGAGCCTGGGATTGGCATTCCTTTCTGAAGAGGTGCCTAAGAGATGTTTTCTTCCTGGTCCCAAGCAGATTAGTGGGACCAACTCCAAGTTCTGTGGAAACCGAATGCCATGATAGAACAGGGGGAAAGAAATGTTTTCTCTTGTTTTGTGCAGCATGAAACTGAAGCTTCTTGCAGGCCGATCTGCAGTTAGGCCCTGAGATATTTGTGTAGTTGAGATATTTGGGGGTAGAAGTGAGATGCAGTGATAATGGAAACCACATACGGGTCGTCTTTGGAGGCCAGAAAGGCGATTGCTGAATCCCAACGTGATAAGCCTGCACCAGAAGAGGGCCAGAGCCTGGGCAGGCCTCTCCCTCCATCCCAGGTCTCCACTGCTCTGTGTAAAAAGGTAGAGGTGTGACTTCTGAGATGTTTAAGGGACCGGCCTGTGCTTATAGTGTGGGGTGCACAACCTGCGTTCAGGTTAGAAGTTATCAGATGGCATTTTAAAATCTGAGAGTCCAGCTTTGCCTTAATGGCCGGTGACGGGTGGTTGTTGTTGTGTTTTTTTTTTTTTTTCTTTTTCCATTTGGTATCTTTTAAGTTAATTTTCAATTAAGTTTTGAAAGGACAAAGTATAAAATTAACTAACTTGCAATTAATTTCAACAGTAATTATGCAAAAATTCTAGGCATGTGAAAGATGGGGAGCATGGAATAATTAGTCGTGGAATTTTTCACTACCATAATTACAGTGATGAATATGCATGAGGCCGTTTGGGAAAGGAACTCACAGCCAGCAATTGTATGCAATTAAACTTTTAGCTGGCTGCCTTGTGTTATAGTCTCCTCAAACTGTTAGCAAAGTCTCCCCAAACAAATAACCCCTTCTAACATACAACAAGGCAGTCACTAGTAGCACTTTTCTGAGCTCTTAATTTTGCAAATTTCTAGCTTCCCGGACCTTCGGTATAACATGCATGGTGGTCCAGGTTGTGGCCTGACCAACTATACCTTGGAGTAGTTTATTTGGGTGAATCAGCACAGCTCAACTTTAGTGCAGATATCTGCGTGTTTCAGCTCAGCCTTGTGTCAAAGACCCCTCCCTGGCTGGGCCTTTCTTAGGGCATCCTCTTCCGGGTTGTATCCTAGCAGCAGAATCCTGGTTGCAGCCTCTCCCGTGGTTGAGCTTGTCACTGTAGGGCCATTTGGTGTGCTCACCATAGACATGCATTATTCTCTTTCATCCTCCCCGCCACTAGGGCTTGAGATTTGAGGAACTTGCTCAGAATCACTTGCAGATGGAGATTGGACCCAGATCCTTTTGATCTTAAGTCCTGTGCTGTTTGCCACGCATTCTCTGTCAAGTTCTTAAGGCTGGGGTGGGGGAAAGGAAATCATCTTAGAACTCAGTTTTGGTAACAGATGGAATTTATTCGACTCCATTGCCTTACCAAGATCACCCCGGATAGATGTCCCAGGGTGCCTAGCCAGTCATACACAGCCCTGATGAGGAGCTCTGAGAACCGTGTTGGTGTCATTGGTACCAGCAGTGACGGCAGCCAGGATCTAGTGAGCCCTTAGGCTGCAGCCAGCCACATCTGATCTTCACAGATGCCCCGGGAGATGGACGCTCTTGTCCCCCAGTTTACAGATGAGAAAAACTAAGGCTCATGAATTTAACTTGGCAGGATGGTGCAGGGTGGCAGTCTGGGCAAGTCAGGATGCAGACTCCTGGTCTTTGTGGGACATCCATGCAGCCTCTAACCCTTGCAAGTGTCCACAGGATGCCACCCACCAGGTGAGAAACATGACCAGTGAAGACAGTCCTCATTCCTGTCCTTGGTGGTGAGACCCAGAGTCGGCCTGAGTTTCTGGGAGGCTTCAGCTCACCCGAGGGGCTGGGCTGGGCCCCAGTGAATGCTGGTTCTGCACAGTTTTTGAATTCTCATTAAGCTCAGTGGTTTTTAGTAAAAAAAAAAAAAAAAAAATCTCATCACATACACATACCAGACTGCCATTAGCAGAACTGGGAAGAACCTTCCGCCAAGTGAAGCAATTTCCTCATTCTGTAATTAAAGCAATTTGGGGGCTGAATATATTTATGAGCAAACTTGCTGAAGTGAGACAGAAGCATTGTACAACGTGCATTTCAGAGGAAAATCAGAGGCCCTGGGCAGAACACCCTGGATCTCCCTCCATCATAAATATGGTGTTGCAACTGGGTCCTGTCCGAGCCTTCTCCCAGGGCAGCATAAAAAGATGAGGAAACTGAGGCACAGAAAAATGAGCAGCTTGCCCCAAGACGAGAGTGGGCCAAGCCTGTGCAGCCCGTGCCTCTTTCCCCTGCTCCTGCCTCCCCACCCCCAACTCAGTAACATGTGCACTTGTCATTTGGAGGTTTTTTTTGTTGCCACTGGAGTTTTTTGTTTCTTTGTTTTTTAATGATTTGTTTCCCTCTGATGCTTACATTTAGGAAAGTTTTCCCAAGGGGGTCGGTACAGTATTTGAACCTTCCAGCTGCTGCCAGTCAGCCTCTAGGAGACTATGTCAGCACTGAGCTCTGCAGATGTCCCTTGAGAGTGAACAGCTCCAGGCTGGAGCAGCTGTCCCGGTGCACCCCCACCCCACCGCACAGCCCCGTCTTCCCTCAGGCTCCCCAGGTCTTGCTCTTCATTCCCAGGTGACCTGAATTCTCTACAACTGGGATTTATATTTTCCAAGCTCTGCTGGGACTCAAGATTAATATCCTGTTCATTTTTATTTGCTTTTTCTTAATTTTAACGAAACCCATGGATTTAGAATAAGTCAACAAAACCGTGGTCCCTTCAGTGGTCCTCAGGTTTTTTCCTGCCTGCAGTGAGACCCAACCCTCTGTGGACCGTCATCGGTGTCACTCCCGCAAGGCAGCTTGCTGCTGGTCCCTTCAAAGAGCAAAACCCCAATATTTCCATTCCTTCTACTCCTGTTTGTCTCTGCTCCTTGAACAGTGACTTGAGGATTAGGACTGTCACAGGCCTCTGGGATTCACCCTGTCATTGTTGGGGACTCCAGTGGTGTCCATGTTGAAGGGCTGTTTCCACAGCACCTTTTATACCAGTGATGGTTAAAACGACAGTGTCTTTCTCTTACGGCTTGCAGCAGAAGGTTCTTCTGAACCTAAGGGAGCAGAATGGTGTGCGGCATTTTTTCTTATTCCCCCAGAACCTTCAAAGATCAAACAAGAGTTAAGAGCTTGTTGATCTGCCAGCCAACAAGATGCTTCAGAACGACTTGTGTTCAGGCTTGTCCTGTTGAGACCACAGGGAAGTTGGTAATCATGACTGATGATGAGATTTTTCTCCACTGAAGCCAGTGAAAAATACAATTAGCAGAGTTTCCCCTTATCTCCCTCATTTGTGTGTTCAATTAGTGCAATTGGTCATAGATACTGTTGCAAGGGGAGCTTTGCGGAGAAGGAGCGGGTGGCCTGCAGACTCTCAGAAACATGAGTGGATTGTCAATCGTCGTGAATCTTGCTCCTCTCCTGCCTGGGCGTCCCCGTTCCCTGTGTCTTTGGTACAGGTCTTGGGTGGGTGCGCAGCAGTCCCCCTGCTGCTCTGGCTGAGAATAGCCCCTGAAGGAACACTTGATATATGGAAGCCACAGAGTTCAGCTAGAGACCCTCAACTTTTGGTCAAGAGTTCTTTCTTATTTCCTGTAACTTGGAGATTCTAAAATTGGAGAGGGAGCTCATGGGGAGTCAGAAAATTAAATTCTTGTTAGAGAGGGAAACATTCATTCATGAAATATTGAGTAGTGCTAATGATGCTAATAATAGCTAATACTGCGTGTGTAAGCACTAGGCTGCTGGCAGATCTGAAACCCATAATTTAAGGCTTATTATTACTGATTGGCTTTACAGATATTATAGCTTACCTAATGTGTATGTGTAAAGCTGAGCTTAGTGCTTACGAGTGAGAGGGACAGGTTGTAAACGAGACCAGCCCTCCAGAGGTTCCGGGTTTCTTGATGGGAAACTAGCTATCTCAGTAGCTCCACAAGAAAGAGAAAGACCTGCGGGATGTGGATCAGGTGATGGGCGGTGGGAAGCTCTAGCTGAGTTTGGACAGCTTCCGGGGAATCAAAGACAAGAGGCTCAGTAGTCACTGGAGTCCTGAGGCTAGCCAGGACATCAGCAGGGGCTCATAGAAGGACATCCCAGGCCAGAGGAGCAGCAATTCTAGGAAGGAAGGACTTCAAGGAAGATGAGTTGTAGATCTCTGTAACCAGTAAAAACACCATCACCCCGAGCTGTTCTGAAATATGATTTTATGCTTTGTCTGTGGATCCTCTGTCTCAAGGTCTCTCCTGAGATCAAGGGCCTCTCATGGGCCAGACTGCAGTCTCACCTAAAGGCTCCATTGGCGGGAGGACCTGCCACCATGCTCGGTCACTCAGCTGTTTGCAGAACTGGTTCCTTGTGGGCTGCTGGAGTGAGGGCCTCGGCTCCTCCCTGCTGGCTGGACACCTCCCACAGTGTCTCCATAGGGCAGCTTCCCCCATGGCCCTAAGGCAAGCGAGTGAGGGAACAACAGAGAACATCACCAAGAACAGAAGCCTTTCATAACCTGGAATTGGAAGTGACACCTTATTATTGCTGCCATATCCCATTTGTCAGAAGTGAGAAATACTCCCGTCCCCAACTCCCAGGAAAGGGTCTCCACAGGGGCATGAATCCCAGGAGGCAAGAGTCGGAGGCCACCTTAGAGGATATCCACCACACTGGGGACAGGGGAGGGACCCTCAGGAGCTGAGATCAGAGAGATGGTGTGAGGTCTGCTCCAGAGGCCTCATAGGTGTATGTCAAGGTAATAGTAGCTCACGTGTGAAATGAGCCATCTATGAGGATTTTTACTGTAGAAGATTATAAGAGAAAAAGAGTGGCAATAGATCCCACCTGCCCATCAGATGAGTCTGGTTATAAACAATGGCGCATCTCCACAAATGGCATGCTCATTCTGCAGCTATCGTAAACAGTTAACAGTGGAGCAACAGAACAAATAATAACGTCTTAGTCTGTTTCATGCTGCTGTAACAAAAATACTGAGACTAAGAAATATTATTAAGAACAGAAATTTATTTTGTCACAGTTCTGGAAACTAGAAGTTCAAAGTCAGGGGCTGTCAAGTCACTTGTCTAGTGAGACCCACTCTCTGCTACTCCTTCCCTACTACTGTATGGTTCCCTAGTACTGTATCCTCTGGAAGGGACAAACCTGTGTCCTCACATGACGGAGGCAGAAGGGCAAGCTCAATAAATATTGCATGAATCCTCCTTCCTCAGGGTCCTATTCCCATCTACGTGGGAGGAGCCCTCCTGGACCAGTTGCCTCTGAAAGGCCTCTTCTCTTAATGCTGTCACTTTGGCAACACCTGGGATACCTTCAAACCATGGCAATCATGTTGGTTGACAGCGCAGAGGATAAAAATAAATATCCATGAGCTTGTCTGATGTAAATAGCTGGAAAAAAAGAGAAGGGCCAGATCTTCTTTACAGAAAAAATTGCAGGGAATGAATGTAGGAAGAACCAGTGGGGACAATGGAAAACATCACCGTGGGAACACACAGTCATAACAACACAGGCGAGATGTGGAAGAAATTGAAGC